ATTGAGATTGATAAGGCGATTATTGCGCCGGGGATTTTGGATGCTCCGGCGCCGGGGGCGTCTGGGGTTAATCTCACGGCGGCGCTTGAGAAAGCTGGGTGCAAGACGTTTGCGGGGTTGCTGGTTTCGAGTGGTGTGATGAAGACGTATCAGACGGCGGCGGATAACGGTTTGACGGTTTTTGCGCCGAATGATGCGGCATTCAAGGACGCGAAGTTGCCGGATCTGACGAAGCTCTCCAATGCGGAGCTGGTGGCGCTCTTGCAGTTCCACGCCGTCGCGGAGTACACTCCGATGGGGACGTTGAAGGCCACGAAGCATCCGATTTCGACGCTGGCGACTAGCGGCGCCGGAAAGTATGACTTCAGCGCCACGACTGCGGGTGACGCCGTGACGTTGGATACCGGAGTTGATTCGTCCCGGGTTGCTTCCACCGTTTTGGACTCCACGCCTCTCTGCATTTTCACCGTTGACAATGTACTTCTCCCGACGGAGCTCTTTGGCAAGGCTCCGTCCCCGGCGCCTGTGCCTGCTGCTCCGGAGGCGTCGCCGGCTTCCTCACCGGAGGTCTCCCGATCGCCAACTCCTGCTCCGAAAGCTGCCGCCGCCGCTTCTCCAACTCCGATGTTCTCTCCTCCTGCTCCTCCGACCTCGTCTCCCGCAGGTGCTCCGGTGGAAGGTCCAGTCGCGGATTCCGAGCGCAGCACGGCGGACAAGAACTCCGGCGACGTGAACGCTCCGGCATTGCTAAAAACGATACTCACAGTGTCAGTCTTGGCATTTGCGTCGGTTTACGTGTCCTAAGTTGTCTTTTCATTCGCGCCTGCCTATTTTATTTTGTGCCTTTTTTTTTTTTTCCGGATTGGATTTTTTTTCTTTTTTCTTTATAGAAAGTTAGAAACCTTTTGTAGTTTAGTAGAGGTAATTATATTTTTAATTTGAAATCTAATTTTATTTTATTTTATTTATGTTCATTTTAATGATTATTAAATTATGGATGTACGTTTTTAGCCCTCTCCTTTTAAACTTGTGTTTGGTTTTGTACAAAGTAGTTTACCATAAGAAAAAAAATGATGTCCTTTCATTGTGTTTGGTTTTGTACGAATAGTTTTTGAAACACATAAGCCCAAGGAAAAAAAGTGCTTTTTTTTTTTTTTTTTTTTTAAAGAAAACAAACATATTTAAACCAGTCTAGGTGGGGGTTTATAAAACAACCTAGCTATTTCGTGAGTTCGTTGATCGTTTAGTGAAAGTTAAAAAGCTCACAAATTAAAATTGTGTAGAGTACACAAACAATAAAGTACAAGAAAGAAATAAATCATACTAAAAAAACTCTATATGATAGGTTTCACTAAAAAATATTAACAAAATTAAATTTATGACCTTTTGAATTATGATACAAAAATTATAGACAAATTATATCGTGCACTAGGGCGCTCACAATGCATTGTGCGCCCTGGTCCAAAACGACATCGTTTTGTATCTGGTTTTTTTTTTTTTTTAATTTCGTTTTTCGTTTCTATCGTTAACTTTTTTAAGAAAAATCTCATGTTTCGAATGTACATAATTGTATAATAAAATACACAAACTCCTAACATAATAAACATAGTCTTTTTTGAAAGGATAATACACATAAACTCTTAACTCTTAACATAATACACATAAACTCTTAATATAATACACATAAAATGGTGTTCGCCGCGTCAACTGTCTACACAATTTAACAAAATGACGTCATTTTGGGCAGAGCGAGACGCACAATGCATTGTGCGCCCCGGTGCACGATATAACGATTGAAAATTATACTTGTAGGCTTTAACAAACAATTTTAGCCCATACTCAATAACAAACCATAGACATTTACTTTTTAAAATTAAATGAGTTTTTGACTTATTGGGCCGTAGCCCATACTAATGTATGTCAAATCCAACAACATCTCAGCATGTAAGCCTTTCTAATGATCCAAATGATTTTGGAAAGTAAGGAGTGCATTTTTCACAATGCTTATTAGGTGGATCTGTATGGACCATGCATATTATATATTATTTTTATGCATAATAAAGTATATTACTTTCTATGCATAACATACATTATTTTTATACATATTGATGGTTTCATTGAGACCGGGTATAAGAATATATGACGGGGGTAGGGAAGTAATGACTTTATTACCCAGGGCGATAGGCCCAAAATAGTACGTACTATGTACGAAGCCTGAGGTATAGGCCCAAAGGAATGGGCGCGCACTATAACTAGACATGCTACTAAGAAGAATCGAACTCAGGTGGTTGGGTTGAAAGTATAAACCAAAGACCACTAGACCAGGATGTCTGTCATGTCTAAGTTCCCCTTAGCCAAAGATCCAGGGCCCCTTCCCCCTTTGGCTGTCCACGTGTCCCACTACTCGGACGTCACTCTCTCGTTTGTCGCACAGTAGTCCGCACGTTCGCCACGAACCGACGCCCCCACCTTCTTCTCCCGTGCACCCCCCGCACGCCGGGCGGCCCCACCCGCCCGGTGCCGGCGACAGCACGCCGTCGCGCCCCCCCGCGATGGGGGCACTAGGCCCGCGCATCGGGCGCGCTACCGCCGGCTGGGGCCAGTGCCCCAGCCGGCGACTTCCCCCGTGGCCTCGCACGGGGGCGCTATGCCCGCGCCCAGCCGCGCATGGTGCGCTGGTCGCGCCACCGGGCGCGCTAGCCGCGCGGGGCAAGGGCGCACTGCTCGAGCCGATTTCGCCCGTCGTTGGCGACGCTTCGGGACGACACCCCAAACCACTTCTCGTTCACTAGCCCCCCTTCCGGTCCATGCTCTTCACCCCGGCCCACCATGCATGCTTGTCTTCCCAGCCCAACAAGACTTGGGCCAACCTCCTTCTTTCTCCACCCCCACTTGGGCCAATACTTTCTCAATAAAATAGACCCCCTAAGGTCCCATATCCCTATCACATATGATACATTATTTGTATACGTAATGTTCATTATTTGATTGTATACAAAATAGTATGAAAACATCTTAAGTATTTAGTATTTATATGTATAAGATTCATTATTTATGTGCATAAAGTTTATTATTTGAATATGGTACATATTGATTATTTAGACATGTATATTCTAAGCTCATTTATATTATACATGAGGTTCATTATTTGTAGAACATAGCTCGACTTATTCAACATTTCCCACCACTTTTACTTAGAAATCTAATATTCAATAAATTAAGGTTTATTATTTGTATACATAAGGTTCATTATTTGTATGCGTAAAGTATACTATTTCTGAGAATATGTTATGATGCATGATTTTTTTTTTTTTTTTTTTTTACATTAACGCGACATTTGGTTGGAGGGAATTAGAATAATTCCATTCTCACCTAATTCTCACTTAATTCCGGAGACAAATAAATTCTTTCGTTTGGTTGGATGGAATTGCATTTATACGGAATTGCAATTCTCTCATTTTCATGGAATTAGAATCTCATGTCCCCATGATATTTCAACTCCGTGGTGTTTACGAAGAAAAAAAAAAAAGAATAACTTTTAGACAAAATTACCCATATCTTTTTTAACCTAATAATAATAATAAGTATGGACTTTTTGGACTTTACACTACTTATTCTATCTCTCTCAATCTCCCTACAAGGTTACAATGTCGAAATCTACCATATTAGCTAAAGGCTAGGACATGCACACATATATAATGTCATATTATCCGCTCTAGTATTCTTTTCAAATCTATTGATCTCTTTTTATACCATTATCTTTATTTAAAATTATGCGAGACCACCATAAAAGGAAAATAAAATTAAAAAGAGAATATAATTGGTGGTCAATGTACCCCTGTGACATGCCATGTGATTATGCGACCAAGAAGAATGAACCATGACAAAGAAATCCACATTCATACTTCCTTTTTGAACCTCTAAAAAGCCTGGACCATATAGTATATATTATAGAATATAGTATATACCTTGCCTTAAGTTGAAGGTTTTACTTAATCTCTGTTACTTGTACCACTAATCATTTCATCCTTTAGACATTAAACCTCAGATTAATACAACTTTCTGTTGTTTTAGGACTAAAACCTATGTAAAACAAAGACACCATTAACAATCTGTCATCATTGGATCAAAAGCCAATGGTCTCTTATTCAACAAAGTTAGGATGTACTTCAACTTTTTTGGGCTGAATGTGCATTTAGTCATCTTCTGTGTGCCAAGCTATCATACTTTTTTGGCCTTGGATTAAGACAATTGCTGGTAAATATAAAATTACACACGAAACTCTCGTTGGAAAGGTTAGAATTCACATGTAAAGTTTTCTATTCCTATACCTTTTTGAATGATGAGGAAATAGTTAATACCTCCAATGGTCTTCTAAATATTAGCAGTTTATCAGCGGTGGTCATTTGAGTTTTAAATGACCTCCAATGGTCCTTCATGTATTAAAAATAATTATTTGTGGTCCTTTTAGGACGTCTCGTAGTCTCAAGTGTATGCACAAGGTAAACTCTCTGTTACCTGCATGGGCAGTTCAGTTGGTCATATATGTGAAATTTGGGAAGAATGACTAGGGATTGAGTTTCACCAGCGACAGTGTGGGAGTAACCTCTCAAAGTGAGGGGGGCTCCTTCTGCACAGTAAGCAAATGTCTAGCCTCTGTGTTCAACTGCACAGTAAGCAAAGGTATAGCCAGGAGCAGTAAGCAAAGGTCTAGCCTGTTCAACTGAGTTACCATGATTTAAATCCTCCCAGATGTTCTGTCGGGCTGGGGTTGGGGATTCAACCTTTTGGGAAGAAGGTAAACTCTCTCTTATTAATAGCCACATGAAAGGTAAATTATTGTAGAAAGACGTGACACGAGAGGATATTGATAATAATCGAACACGTAATTTTTTTAGGTACGAGAATCATGTTTGGCTTTTGTGTTCAAATATAGTTAATTACTATATATACCTCGTTTGATGTAATATTAAATTTAAAAACATAAGTAAATTCAAACTAAGAGTTTGCAATATATTTGGTATTGTCAGATGATTGATGAGAAAATTCTATGAATGGGAGCTTGTAATGATGAGCCCCTCGTGCCATCATTACAAGTTACAATGAAAAGCCAAAGGCAATTCCACTTCTTCACATTAGGCACCCATCTAGCCAAACTTCAATTCTTCTGTCTATATAATTCATTTGATTTTGAGCTTCTTTCTCATCACCCAAAATTTCCACAGAAGGAATTGAAGCTGCGCAATGTCTGCTGATACATTCAAGTTGAAGCCATTTCATTCCTCAAAAACATCCAATAAAACTTCTCTTCGCAGGTTCCGCAGGTTAGTTATTCATTATCTCGTGCTTTTAATAGTATTTTGTTCTGCCAATGACCTTGTGGTCTAGTGGCATGAAGTGACCCTCTCATCCCCAGTAGGAACAATATTGACTCTTTATGTTCCTGCAGTAGGAACATTGATAAACGGGATTGCATGTCATGTTGTCATTCTTACATATATGTTGATTTTGGCGTGTGAGTTCTTTCTATTAGTTAAAATCTTGGGCTCTTAGCACGAACTCTATTACATGTATAGTGAGAATTTATTGTTATATTTTGGGAGCTAGTTTATTTAGTTGGTATTTATGAGTGTTATACATCTTAATGTATGCTATTGATCGAACTAATGATATTTTCAAGTTTGAACCCAAACTTGAGGGCTCTCAGCTAACCGCTTTTATCGTGAGAACTGGTGGAGGAAGTAAATTGCGAGATGTGTCTTAACTGATTGAATTGTATGATAGGAGGAGTGGGAGAGTGTTATTGTCCAAGGCAGCTAAGGTGGGGAAGCTGAAGAAACTAGAGATGGAAATGAAGAATTGGAAGCTGTACATGGAGAACAAAAGCATCATTGAAGAGAACCAAAGGTTGCAGCACAAAGCTTTTCTTCTTCATCAAGAGAACAAGGCTTTGCTATCACAACTCCAAAAATGCTTTTCTTAGCTTCTTGTTAACTACAATAGAACATTTATATTATTGATATTATTAGCATTCAATTTGTTGGTTCACTAGTACACAATTGTTTTCAATCTTGTGCAATAATAAATATTGAAGTAATTGAGGTGAAAAAGATATTTCAACATGATGCAATGAGTTAAATTTGTACATGTTATGTTTTTACGTGTGAGTTCGGATGGTTACTTACTATCTCTAATTAGATGTTAGTTAAAATAGATAAACTGAGATTTTCAAGCTTTAAACAATTATGAATTAATTTTGAGATAAAAAACTAAAAAGTAATACACCCAAAGTAGGTTACAAATGACACGATATTATAGGCTTTAAATCAATACAACAGAATGTAATACGAATAAGATGCAAGTTATGAAGAAAAGGCCTCAAATAATCTAACTTGACATATGAATTCATAATTAGATCTCCTTCTCCTTGCGAATTAAAAACTCTTCTAGTTACGACTTGTTATTGACTCTTGAGCCAAGCTCACATCTCCCTCCGTTATCCTAAGTCTGCTTGCTTGTTGATAACATTGTTAGTTTCGTGACCCGGGGTAGTCATTCGGCAGGTTAACATAACCGATTTGAGTAAATAAAATAGAAATAATAGAAAGGAAAAAGAAAGAGAGACAAGAATAGACACATTAATTTTAACGTGAAAACTGAAAAGTAAAAATCACGGACCTTTTTGGGTAGTGTTAAGCCAAAACTTCATTACTTTGTAAGTATTTTTCTACGTTTAATTTGTTGTTTTTCTAGAGATCATGGAGCCCCCTCTCTTCTCGTTTCTCCTTGTTTTATAGGAGTAGAATGAGTAAGGGGTATTAATGGGTAATAATTAGGATTTTATGGGTAGTTAATAGGGGTTATGGGTAATTAATAGATTTTTAATGGAATTTATGGGTGATAATGAGTGTTTATGAGATTTATTATGGGTAATGAATGAGTAATAATAGGGTAATAAAGGATAATTATTTGGAGATAATGGAGGAGTGTTGGGTATCCATTAAACGTCGTAGACTAACTCGACTCAAGCTCGGGACCCATGTCCGGCGGTGTTTATTCAGATTTAATTTAAAGATAATCGGACTTTTACTCATTGTTTATTGAAGAGTTTGGGCCAATAGTCAGGCTTGGGGAACCTTGGGCCTTGAAGCCCATAACCAAATAGCTATTACTTGCATTGAGCACGGCCCAATGAATTATTTTAGCCTACTTGGATTACCCTACCTATCACGAAAAGTGCATTGGGCCTTAGTGGGCCCTACTGGGCCCACAATCTGGAGATTCTGATCACGACTGCACGCCTAAGCCATTTCTCGCTACTTTTAAGGACGTTAACTGTGAAGCATTCCCACTTCAAGGGTAATTTAGTCATTTCACTATCAACAACCGGTCGGCCCGACAATTGAACTCCACCACGAGGCCGGTCGCGGTCACGGCGGCACAACTAATCACCAATGAAATGAATTCGCCCCAAGTGGGCATTTTGGTACTTTCACCTTTGCACCCCCGACCGCCTCTGTCTGCACTCTGGACACCCACACTCTCTCTCTCAAGTCTCGAGTTTCATCGCCATCCCGTCTTGCCCCCAGTTTTTTTGAACTTGAATTGAATCATCTCTCTCTCTCCATCTCTAAATCGATACGCGCATATACTGTGTTGTTGCGTGCGTGGATGCACATAATCGTCTGTTTCGATTGTGTTTAGAGAGAGAGAGAGGTGTGAGAGTGATGGCTTCAGGTGGTGGTGGTGGTGGTTACAGGAACGGGAACCACAAAGCGCAGAATCTAAGGGTTTCGTCTTCCTTCAAATCTAAGCTTCCACCGTCGACATCTAACGTCCGCCGTAGCAGCAGCGCCGCTGACGCCGGTATGTCTTCACTCCTTCCCCATTTCGGTAGTAGAGTTGACTGCTTCATCAATGTGGTTGAAATTTGAGTACTGGATTGACTGTTGAGGTTGATTTTTTAACTGCGAATTAGAAAATTAAAAGTTACCTAGTAAGTTATTTGGTTATTATTATTATTTTTTTTGGGTGAATGATCTTGTTACTTTCTATTTGCTTTTCGTATTTAAGTAAGTTCAGCAATGTGGCGAATGGAGTGATTTTTTAGTTGCTAAACTAGTTTAAAATGTGGCTCTGTGGATCTCCTTTTAGTTGGAGAAATTTGCCCCATTAGATTTGTACGTGTAATAGACTCTATGCCAAATGAAGGCATGAATGTTTTCCACGTCTCTGATATTCTAAATTTCTGGAATTTCTAGTTTGGTGAAAATTTTCCATTCTAGGCTTTGTTTATGTGTGTAGCATTTTATTTGCAAGGACCAGAGCTATTCCTTTTTTGGATTAAACTTTATGCACTAATCCTGTTTACCAACCATAATATAGGGCATACAAGCATTGCAATATAGGGAAGTTGAATAACTTTACTCTGAGGTCCAAATATAGGGCATAAAAGCATTGTAATATAGGGAAGTTGAATAACTTCAGTCTGAGGTCCATACTTGTGCTTGGCATTAATCCCTGATAATATTCACCTGGAAATGTTAAATAGTAGTAAATGATCCTCTGCCTTTCTTATTTTCGTACTCGTACAATTTTCATGCATAATGTGAATATGTAATAGTCATTTTGCCTTTCTGTTTGTAACAAATAACTTAACACTTTATTTTAATCACTATGATTAAGGAATGAAATGTACTTGTGCTTTGACTCCTGAATTTTCAGATATCAGTGTAACTTATGTATTTAATTTTTACATTTTTAAAGCCTGTCAAGTAGTTAGTTTTGTTTTGGTTTTCTTGGTTATTATTTATTTATTTATTTTCATTTTATCAACTCTGAATTTTTTATGTTTTGACTAGTTGGAAACATAATGTGAAATGTCTTAAAGCAATGATGGTTATGTTTAGATTAGTGATTTGGTTGTTCTTATAGTGAAGGGATATGAGATGTTTTCTTTCTTTCTTTTATGCTTTCCCTTTATAATGATATTCATAAAAAAGATGTCTTTTTGAATATTCTTGGTAGTTTCTGGAAGAGTTCGAGTTGCTGTACGATTGCGACCTCGAAATGCTGAGGAATTGGCAGCAGATGCAGATTTTGCTGATTGTGTAGAGCTGCAGCCGGAGGTCTTTAACTTATTTGTTTGATGTTAGCTGAACTGAAATTTTTAAAAGTATTCACTTTTGCAGTAGGACTTTGATCATGATGTGCATTCATTGTTTTGTTTGAGCAGCTTAAAAGGTTGAAACTTCGAAAAAATAACTGGGATACAGATACATATGAGTTTGATGAGATATTCACTGAATTTGCATCACAAAAGCGCGTGTACGAGGTTGTTGCAAAACCTGTTGTGGAGGTGCGTTGTGTTCTTTGTCCAGTCAATTAGCTGCCTTAAACCCATCCAACATGCAGGTTTGAATATGAAAATCATATTTAGAAAATCTCCCAACTGACCCAAACAAGAGGAAGAAAGAACTCAAAGAAGAATCCATGGCTGAGAATTTTTTGCTATTGATCTTAATATTCTATATCCCGTATTATTTTTGAGTTCTGTATTTTTTTAATATATCTTTTGTTGGGATTAATGTTTATTTATGCTGAATTTTCCCTGAGTACAAAAGGTTCACAGTTGTTGATTCTTGTGATAGATGTTTATATTGCTTTGCGGCTGTCTTTGAAGCTATGATTATTTTCTATTCCTATGGGGATAAATTTTTGTACTTTGTGCTGAAAGTTTCACGAAGTCAGTGAATGCTTTGTTGTTATAGGTTGAAATTTGTTTTTATGTGGCAGTCCTAAATGTTCTTTTTTCCCTGTTATCATCCACCCTTTTCATAGAGTGTCTTGGACGGTTACAACGGGACAGTCATGGCTTATGGACAGACTGGTACTGGGAAAACCTATACTCTTGGACAATTGGGAGATGATGATACATCAACTCGTGGTATTATGGTTCGCTCAATGGAAGACATACTTGCAAATATATCTCTGGGGACTGACTCTGTGTCGGTCTCATACCTGCAGGTGTAGGCATTTACTTTTTCAATCCTTAATAAGCCTGTTGTAGTTTTAACACTTTCATTAGGAACCATACAGGTTATTCTGAAGTATACTGAATGATACTTGATATTTGCAGCTTTATATGGAAACAATCCAGGACCTCCTTAATCCAGCAAACGATAACATTTCTATAGTTGAAGACCAAAAAACTGGTGATGTTTCCCTACCAGGCGCAACTGTTGTTGAGGTCCGAGATCAGCAAAGTTTTCTGGAGCTGCTAAAGTTAGGGGAAGCTCATAGATATGCTGCTAACACAAAGCTGAATACTGAATCTTCTAGAAGTCATGCTATTCTCATGGTAAAGGAGTTTTTAATCTATTGCATTAAGTGTTTTTTAATATTTCTGTGAATTTACTCACAATGACTGCCAATGACTGACTAGTGATGTACCCTACATGAATTGGTGTAGGTCAATATTAAAAGGTCTGTTTCTGGAAGAGAAGCTGATGCATCTGCTGAATTTGATGATTCTTCTCCCTTGGCTACTAATTTTAAGCCACCCATTCTTAGAAAAGGAAAACTCCTTCTTGTGGATCTTGCGGGTTCGGAACGTGTACTTAAATCAGGTACACTTAACTTTCTAGATTTAATTATGAAAATGAGTATTCTAAGTCTGGTACCTGGTTTTGACCTCATAGTTTCTTTTCATAGATTTACACTTGATGGATGATTACTTAACTATCGTTTTAATCAGATTTCTGAATTTTAATTATATTCATATTTCAGACACCCCATAACTAGAAGACCTTTGTATGGCTATTATCTTATACTAAATTACTAATGTACTGATGTTTTGTATACATGGTAAAAAATTGTAGTTTTTTATGCCAAGGTAAAGTTTTCTTTTTATGTACTGCAGGAAGTGAAGGGCATATGCTAGAAGAAGCCAAGTCTATCAATCTTTCATTAAGTGCATTGGGGAAGTGCATAAATGCTTTGGCAGAAAATAGTGCTCATGTACCAGTTCGTGATTCAAAACTTACACGGTTACTTAAAGATTCCTTTGGAGGTATTCTTGCATTTGTGTTACAGGGATATGAAGACTTTCTGCTGTGTATTT